GGCCGCACATGATTTTGCACGTATCCGTTATTTGTTGTCCAAATGCGGCGATTCTCATACATGCCGTTCATATCGCAATCCAAGAATGCAAGAATGCATATCCAAATGGCAATAGCGTTTGTGTAGAAATAAAACACACAAATAACAAACACTATGGAGGCATTTTGCGCATTGCACGCTCTCTAGCCTATTCGTCCTTAGCACACTTTCTTATGCAGACGCTGGAATTCGATTAAGTGCTTACAGCTCACACTTTTGCAGAAAGCGAAGTGTATTTCACTCGTATCACAATGAACCAAAAAAAAAAACAAGAAAACAGAAGAAAATAAAAACACTTTCACTTTATTCAAATCACCAAAAATCACAAGGCTAAAACGCTTAAACACGTAACAGCCGCATTCAGGAGCACCGCTTTGCAAACGCCAACGGCGTTGCATGTCCACAACAATTCAATAATGTGTATAGTCCAAATAAGTCATACAATCAGTATTTTTTTTTTTAATTAACATTTTAATATTTACAATTTTTGCTTAGTCTTTTAACGGACTTCTATACTTTTTAACATCGACACATAGTACATATGTACATAGGTCCAACTGACCTAGTCAAAAGTGCTAGACCACCAATAACCATAATTTATTTATTGATTTTGCCATTCATTCTAGGACACATCCCTTTGTTTACTTCCTTCGACACAACCGTGACGGTTGTAAATATGTACAACACCAGATACTAGTAGAGCTAGTAGACAATCTTGCTGACAATCAGCAACGTACTAAAATACTTAAATTCACTTGGCTAGACCGTCTGCAATTCGAATAGATTCACCGAGGGTCCTGGTGACGCGCCGAGTCCTACGACTGTCGGCGCGAATTTAATCGAAGTGCCGGTCGGCATGGCGTATTTATGAACAACAAACGTCACGACAGTGAGTGGAGGAGTACCGCTAAGGACGGTGGTAAAGCGCGGTGGTCGAGGCACGTGTGCAACACCTGCCTTTGGAGTAGAAGGGTGGGTGGAAGGTATTCTAAAGTAGTTAAGCTCCAATACCAGCACGCAAGAGATACCATAAGTGAATGCAAATGGGCAAAAGGAAGTAAGCAAATCAGTTCATTCGTTCATTCGTTGTTTCCTATCGCAGCGCTGTCCAGCAAATTTGCCCAGTAATAATTATAATTACAAGCAAACAAAAGCACATGCCCACACTCACATATGTATCTATGGGCAAATATAAACTTTTTTTTTTTTGTATACCACAAAGCATATGTAGTATGTATGTATGTATGTATGTATGTAGGTATGATGTTACTAAAGAATATGTATATAAAATTTGTATATCTATAAATTACACGATGCTACAAAAAAAATCACGAAATACATCCGAAACAAACAAACGAGAACAACATTATAACAGCCCCACTCAGAGTCGTTTAATGATTACATAAAGGTGTTCCTCAGTAACGATTTGAAAACATTCCCTCTCAGAGTTAGTTGATAATTCTTTAACGGCATTCCATGAATATTAAAGTTAAGAAACAAAAACCTTTACTTAACTTTTTATCAATGATTTTGAAATTTTTTATTTATTTTCAATAAATTTCAATTTCGATAACCATTGCTGTAACGGTGGCTATGGCCCAGAGAGCAGAGCACTTTCGTACCATTCAAGAGATCCGAGTTCAATCCTCAGCAACGAAATATGTTTTAATACAATTTTTTTTTTTAGTTTTATTGCTTAAAAAATTCATATTGTTTATTTTGTTTAACGTTTGTAAAACTTTACTGGATCATCTTTTTTCTTTCACTTTCAATTTCTCAAATTTTTAGTTTTTCCTTTAGTTTTACTCCAAGAGCCACCTCATCGGATGTTTTTATTGTCCATGCTGCTGTATGTACTATACATACATATACGGGTATATACATACATATCGTCGTTTAAAGTACAAAACCGCGTATCGTCATTCTGCTAAACCGCGTAACTGACATTTGTTGCCAAAGATTGGATTTGCTCACACAAGCTCTTGGCTCAATCCTTATCCATTCGTCCTGAAATATACTAGCCAGAAATGGGATTGCTTTATAAAAAGCATATGTATTTGCATATGTAAATGCAACTATTTTGTATGTACCCGATTGTACCATATATTTAAATGTATCAGAAAAGTAGCACTTACGTATGGGGATACATATCTTGTAAGACTGCTTTAATACTGTTCCCAGCATTGCCACTAAAAATTAATTATTCCCCTACCAATTTTCTTCCCAAATCCGACCAAAATCGTTTACAACCTACCAAATAAATTTCAATTACAAAAAAGCATTCAGGTGCAGTCGTATATGGTAGACAGACGGAGAAAATTAATTTGAATTAATAAGCATAAATGCAAATTAAAATTTTACCCTTACAGACGGCAGTAATGCGAATAAACCAGCCGCAAGGTCGTGGGTTCGAGTCCCATGGCCAGTATACTTTTTTATTTCTTTTTCATTCTTTTTTTTTATAAGTTCTATATTTTTTTTACGTTACTTTCAGTTAGTTATTGTTGAATTTTTAACAAAATTCATTTCTAAAAATTAAAATTAACTAATAGTAAAATAAGAAATGTGATATAAAATAATGCAAATGAAAATAAAATAAAGTAAAATTAAATATATAAATAAAATAAAATAAATAATAAAAACAAAAACCGAGTATCGAACCTGGCAGCTACAGACTTGTAGCTCGCAACTCTCACCACTCGGCTAGCGCGTACGCGAAACTCGACTGCTTCGTTTGCTTACTTGTACAAAAGACAATAACTGGCCGTTTTTACCAGTGTTGTCATCGAAAATTCCCCGGATCCGAGTTAATTCCCAAAAATCCGTATTAAGCACATAGATGAGATCAATTAACATTTTTTGGTTGTATTATTTATATAAATATGTACATGTTATGTATCAATAAGTTTAATTTCTTAAAAATAAATTCAAATCAATTAACGAAAGAACGAAAAATGACACTGAACATGGCACAACGCCGAAACCGGTTTGTCTGCAAAGCAAACTTGACATGAGATGACGGAAATTCGTTCCAAAATAAATCATCTTACCACCCTGTCTGAAAAATCAACCAACATCTACACTTTAGCAGCTGACCTGCATAACATTATGCTATTGATACTGTCAATCCTAAGTTTACTTCTTAGGTTAGTTTTTACCAAAGAAAGCGTTGAAAAATTGCGTTCTGCAGCCGCAGAGATATGTGATACTGAAATTACATATATTAAAAACAAAATTGGCGAGATGCATGTAGCTATTTTCATTCATTCCATTTTCAATAGAATAAACTTTTTCCCATAACATCTCTATATCCATATCGCTGGAAATATCAAGCTTACTACTTAGTTAGCCTCAGTAAATTCCACTGCGCGGTTATTATATCAGGATCGCAATCTACTAGAAGGGGAAACTTTAACGAAATTTTACCTATTGGTAAATATTATTTAGAAACTACCTTAGCTGATGTTATTATTTGTAAAAGTTGTATATATTCACGCTTGAAATCAAATCTTAAATTTATTTGGTCCAAAAACTCTATGTAAAACTTTAATATATTGGTTTTAACTTCAAGGATTCCAGAACAATTGACATTACTTTTCATAAGCATCTCAGCCTTCGTTCTAACAAAAATATCAGATATCTCAACATGATTATTTTCATTTCTAAAGTCAACATTAATATGTTACTGATCGCATCTTTTTTAATAAAGTTACTCAAAATTAAAAGATAATGTGCTTTAATAGTTGTATATATGTAAGTATGGCAAACGAGAGCTTTCAGTTTGGAACTCTTTGTTAAGATTCTTAATTATGGGGAAAATATACGACAGAAATAAAAAAAATACCATTTGGTTTTGCAACACATTCCTTCTGCAAGGTCTGCAGATCGCATACCGTTTACTTCGTGCAAGCAGGAAATAAAATAAAGTCTCAATATATCTCATTGCTCAACTATTCTTAACACAACGCTTCCTAGTGGAAGCCATCGCATTTGAGATATGCCCAAGAATTTCTGGGGTTTAACCGAACAGTAGTCCTGAAATTCCTTCAGTTCATGTACTGTGGGAAATAAAGCTATATATGTTGCGACACAATGTCTCAATGCTTTTCGCCAATTTTTTACAAGCGTATCTTGAGCAAAGGTGAAGTCAGTGGCATGTGCACTCTATATATAAAATTAATCCGTTTCGCACTCAATAATGTTTTCAGCCCGTCCAAGTCTCCAGCCATAACATTGGCCTACATCAGTGGCCAAACCAATTAGGTTTCTCATTTTTAAAGGCAGGATTGGCAATTGTTAAAAGGTAAATAGGACAAATATTTATACGCAAAATGATGTTTGAAATATATATTTTTATAATTGAGAATTTAAAAACTTAATTTAACTATCCGACCAAAATCTTACTTTGCCGGCCAACCTACCAAATGAAAAAGAAGAGACCAAATTTGGAAAATACCAATAATGTCAACACTGACTGTTCCATTAACGCAATTTTGTATGTTTGAGACATTACAGCAAGTTCGTGCCACCAACAGGGATGTCGTATTCTACTGGATATGAATGAAAGCAAATGTATGAAGGAGATACCCAGTCGGACCATGCAGAATGTGGTTCCATAAGAATGCCTTTTAGGGTTTTTAGGGTACTGGTTTTTTCACCAGAAATTCGAAGCACATTTAAATTCTGTAGGAAAAATTAAAAAAAAACCTACATACATATGTACATGAATAAAGAATTACATTCTTCTTTCACTACTATGAAAGGCTAAATATCTGTAGGTCGCACGGTGATATTTGAGGTTTTATGTTATTGGGTGGATAAAGTGATGTTTCATCTATCGAAATATGTTCAAGACTCCCAAGTGCCGATACTGGCACTTGTTTGTATGACCAGTGTGAAAGTGTTAGTTGATGCAGCGCTCTAAAATGTACAAATTTAATGCGAGTGTTTAAAAGATCGCCAAAAGCCGTAGGGAGGTCATTTTTAATTTTGTAAAATGGGTTTTTATTCTACAGTCAGTTGTACATAAGGTATAATTTAAAATTTTCTTTTATATCTTCAACTAATTAATATTTAATGAA